TTATGTTGAAGAAGGGACTGAGGCTGAAATTGAGCTGCTGCCAATATCGAACCTTGGCTGACTTAGAGTCAATATTTTGTCAGAATAAAATCCTGTTATCCCTTGTATTAGGATTAAACTATGTTGTGACGTTGTGTGTGAACTTGTAGTTTTATTCTGTCGTTGGATTTTTGGTGTTAAGAACTTAAAAGTTCCTAACTAGTAGTTAAAATTTTATCTAGCAAGTTATTGTTATTTAAAATCTTATGACGTTTCAAAAAAAAAAAAAAATTTTTTTTTTGGGCGTCACAGAATCGGAGTCGGTATGTTTTGAGTATATCAAAGACTTCTTTTAGGTTGGCAAGATGACCCTTAGATTCCTTGGTCTTCACGACCATGTCATCGATGTAGACTTCTACGTTTTGCCAATTTAGGATGCGAACATCTTTGTCACTAACCTCTGATAGGTTGCTCCTGCGTTTTTCAGCCCAAAAGGCATTACCCTGTAACAGTACAGGCCTTTGGGGGTGATGAACGTGGTCTTCTCCTCGTCTGGAGGGTACATGGCAATCTGGTGGTACCCTCTGTATGCATCCAAGAAACTCATACTTTTGTGCCCTGAAGTTACATCTACTAGTTGGTCAATCTTGGGAAGAGGAAAGCTGTCTTTGGGGCAGGCTTTGTTGAGGCTGGTAAAGTCTACACAGACCCTCCATTTGCCGTTCTTCTTTTTCACTACTACTGTGTTGGACAGCCATGTCGGGTAGTGAACTTCTCGGATGGTCCTGGCCTCCAGAAGTTTGTCTACTTTTTCTTCTACTGCTTCGACGTGCATCAACGTCGGTCTTCTGGCTCGTTGAATCACAGTTTTTGCCGACCTGTTGACATTCACCATGCCACGTGTTGGTATTCAGAAAATACATCCCCACACTCTATAGTTTAAAATTTGTGTTACGTTGGTCTTTAATTTTTCAATTATGATATATTTGATTATGAATTTTGAATCTTGTTCCAAATAAAGATAATAAAGATACCATTGCTCAATTTTAAGGAAAAAATCGTTAATTTAATAAAATATAAACTAATTTGACAAAAATAAATATCAAAAAATATTTTAAAATTTTTAAAAATTATTTCTACCCACCAAAAATAAAATTATGTAAAATTGATAAATCTTTTGCACATTTATTTATTTAATTATTTTTACCAAATTAATTTTTGTTATATGTTTGGATAATGATTATGTAATGGGTGATTGTTAAGTTTTTAATGTGTAATCGATATATTTAATATAAGAAATGTTTTTAGTTTTAGATTTTTTGATTTGATGGATTGGTTTAATAATAATATCAAGTTGCCACCATATTTAACTTTAGAAAAAATAGAAACTAATTTAATAAAAATCAAAACAATTACCCATTATATGATCATCACCCAAACATATAATAAAAATTAATTTGGTAAAATAAATAAATAAATAAATAAATGTGTAAAGCATTTATCAATTTAAATAATTTTATCTTTGGTGGATATAAATATTTTTTAAAAATTCAAAAATATTTTTTTGACATTTATTTTTTTCAAATTAATTTATATTTTATCAAATTGACGACTTTGCCCTTGAAATTGAGCAATGATATCTTCAACAGTCCTCATTTGGAACAAGATTCAAAATTCAGGGTCAAATGTATTATAATTGAAAAGTTAGGGATCAAAGTGATACGAGTCCCAAACTATAGGGATCGTTAGTGTAGTTCACCCAATATCCTATTTGGAGCAGTATGCTTACAAGTGTACTTTTTTTTATCTGTACAAAAATTTATTAAGGTAAGTTAAACGGTACTTACAGAAAAGTCCATCCAACAAAAAACTTATACTAAACAAAGTAAAAATATTACAAGAAACGTAAATGAGAAAACTATGAAAATATCCAAACGCATAGCTCGTGCTCGTACTGCATAAGTGTTCGGCAATAAAATATGTCTAAGATAAATTATAGGGTATAACTACAGATTGAGTAAGCTAAAACCACAATATCGATGGACTTTAAGAAACACAACCAAAAAAATCAAAGAAACAAGAAAAATTTTGACTTAAGACAAAAAATGACCAGATTCGTAGAGGCGGGCCAGATTTGTGGCAGATCTAGTGGCGGAAAGGTCGTGTTGGCTTCGGTGTGAGTCGACAGAAGAGAGACATAATAGATCTAGCATCAGCGGGAAGGGAAGATGAGAGAACCAAACAAAACTTCCACCATGAGGGGAAGAACACCTCCCAAAGAGGGAGAAAATAGAAAGATAGAGCTCCCATGACTTACTGAACCAAAAAGGTAGAATAACAGAAGAGAAAAAGAGAGGAAGATGGAGGAGAGAGGTAGCCGGAGGCTAGAGTCCCCATCCCCATCCCCATCCCCATTCCCAAGCTGCGTTCCAAGCGAAACCCTAAAAAAAAAAAAGTAAAGAGTGGCTCTCGTTTAGAGAGAGAAAGTAATTTTATTTTGTTTTTAAAATTTTGAGACTTACAAGTGTAGTTGTAAATTGAATGAATGTATGTATCAACCTCAATTCTTAAATAAGTATTTACATTCAACGCTCTTCACAATCAATCAAGCCCAAATCAAGCTTTTGCAATTTAAAAAATGAATAAATACTAGGTTTCAACTAATTTTTTTGAGTTACATTTGAGTTACATATAAAAGAGTGCTACTATTTAACATTAATAAATTATAATTTTATTTACATTATGTTATTTATTTAATAACTCAAACGGAAGAATGGCATTTTGATAAAGAGAAGTGCTCTTCACAAATAGTCAATTTCTTTGATTTTAGCTTTGTTTTTTAACCTCAAATTACAATTTTTTTTTTCCGTCTTCAATTCTACTCTTATTTCCTAAATCCCACCTTCACATCTGATGTTGCTGCCGCTCCCTTTGACAACCTCTTTTCTATTGCAACCATTTTTTTGGCAACCTTCTTCCCCTAAGTCAACTGCCCTACTTATACAAAACACCCAAGTTGCCTCATCCTTACCCTTGCGCCGTTTCATCCTTTCCAGTGCAACCATTGTTCAGCAACAAATTGTAAACTTTTCCAATTCGGCTCCTAAATTTGCAACATCTTCTGCCACCCTATCCTCACCCTTGCACCGCCTCACCCTTTCATCCTCCACACCATATAATAGGATTTTGAGAAAATATGATTTTGCCTTTTAAATTATCACGCACAAATCAATTCAACTTATGTTCTTTTAATAATATTAATTTTATACTTAAATTATTTGATTTTGTACAATTTTATCCCATCATCAATTGTTGTCTATAATCAAAACAAAAGTTACTAATGTGACATCTAATTTTTATTTAAAAATTCATTTTACCTCCCAAACTATTCCTAAGCTATCGATTAGATCTCTGAACAATATGAAATTTGGAGTGTAACTGATATTTTATAAATAGTTTGTGGGTTAAAATAAAATTTCGATGTCACATTAGTATCTTTTGTTTGATTATAAATGGAAGTTAACGGTAAAAATAAAATTAATCCAAAATCAAATAATTTAAATATAAAATTAATATTATTGAAAAAATAAAAATTAAATTAATTTTTAAATAATAATTTAAAGGATAAAATGATATTTACATTTGTAAGATGTGCACACTATGACCATCTCCAATGGTTATTCAGATTTGTCATTAAATTTAAATTTGTTGAAAAATGACCATTTTTTCTATTATAACGGTTTCATCAAATAGGTATTAAATCTAAAATTTCACTTTTCTTTCATTAAACTGAGGACTAATGTGTCTTTCATCAAATCACTATTCATAGCCGTTTGATTTTCACTACTGGATGTCCTCGGAAACCACCTCAAGGCGAAAATTTATGAAAAAATTGCATTGGTCGATCGACCACCTCAAAGCAAAAAAAAAAAAATTATACTAACCGATCGACTAAACGGACATCCGCCCAGTTTTCTAATAACATTTTAAAATCTTCCATTAGAACATTTAATTTCACTCAAATTCTTACTTAAATTTAATAAAAAAAATTAATAGACCATTAGAGATACTCAAACCTAAAAATAGAGTGGCTACTTATTCCTTTCAATTCCTTGAATAAAAAAATAATAATTCTTGAAACCACTAATACTGTGACAGTATGCATGCTGCTGTGCCTTGTTTTTTTTTTTAAACATTTTTCACTACACTTGTAGTAGATTTAGAGCTCATTACATCATTATTGCTAAAAAAAAATTGTTAAAGAAAAAATAAATAAAACACTTCAATAGGATAGGAGCACCTGTCGTAGAGTAGGTAGGGTGTCTCGTATGAGAGAGTTATTACTTACTAGTCATTCGTTTCGCCTTTGAGTACCCCGACAACTCTGTCGATGATCTCTACGAAAATCACCTCTCTTTCCACACCCATCTTTACTTTCTCTCGCTTCTCTCTCCACGTAGTTCAATTCAATTTCAATCCCCACGACCAGTTGTGTGGTTCTGTTCTCTGATTTTCCATTGATTTATATATAATTATAATTATTATTATTCATAATAATAATAGGACATATATATATACATATTTATTGTTTATGTCTGAGTCTGTGAAGGAGCGATCTGATGACATTGTTGGTGTCGGTGGCCGCGACGCTGATGATGGGTCTGGTCGGATGGATGATGATGATGATGATGATGATGATCAATGGAAGAAGACAAAGCAGAGGAGACATGGGTTTGGAAGGAATCTCAAAAAGGCGAAGAGGGTCACTCTGTTTCGATTCAGAAAGGCCAAGAAACAACTCCCCCTCAGGAAGAACACAAGCGCTGGTGGCAGTGGCGGTGGTTGTTACTGCTGTTTTAAGCAAACCCCATCTTCGGATTCCCCTGTTGAGTCCCAAACAAGCGACCCCAACAGTCCTGAGTTTACTTATGAGTTGTTGAGAGCTTTGATCGAAAAGAATGATTTCTATTCGAATGAATGCAATCCCCATTTAGATTCAGACAATAAGGATGTGAATTGAAAGAAAAGAGCAACACATCTATCTATACACTCTTCTGTTTGTTTCTAACTGATGAATATGAACAATGAACACTTCTTCAAGAAATTTTAGGTGAGGTTGGTTGAATTGATACTGAAGATGGTAGTTGAAAGTATCATGGATCAAACATTATGGGGTTTCATTGCTTGTGGAACCTCAAGTTTTATATGTTGAGCCATTTAGGAGATTGACCGATTGATTTCGGATTGTTGATTTTCGTTGCGCCTCTATATGTCGATGTTGAAGTTCAAGGAAATTGGGATTTAGGTAAACTTGCAACCATTGAATTCATTCAAATTGTAAAGCTAGTTTTTGGTTCAGTTGTTCCATATTACCATTTTGTGTAGACTGTAAAGTTAATTTTTTAAATGAAAAGGTTAACTTTTGTTCAGTATAGTAAGCATATTTTCAAACCTGTTATCTTACTCTTGGTTGTCTTTATGCCAATGTAATATGAATTACTATCTTGGTATGATATGCATGGATCAATGTCATTTGATTAAGAGGTGATATATAGATAAATGTTGGTCAGTGGACTGAAAATCAAGAAATGCAATGCAGCTCAATTGTAGTTATTGTTACTCAGCAGAGGCGGAGTGTGTGTGTTGCAGATTGGATTTGAATTCCATGAGATCACAATGCTTAGTGCCGAAACTGTGAACGTGTTTCATAGAACTGAAACATTTCTCTGGCTGATGAGATTATATGTGGACTTCTATCAAGAGATTTTTGATGATAAGACTCGGGTAAATTGCTTACATTGCGTCATGTTTTGGGCACATTGTTTTGAAGCTTTTTGCATTAAATTGATGGTTTATGGTATAAGGGAAGCAATGCCTTCAACCATAGGACAAATGAACTGGAAGAAAATTGAATTGCTAATTCAAGAACTTTCCAAGTGAAATTGGAAGTGCAACAAAATTATAGAGAATGTATTTAGTCACTTGAAGTGGTTTGCATTTTCTGAATTACTAGGTTCCTCAAAGAGCCTTGGTCCTTGTTCTTCTCTCTTTCTTTCTCATGTTGAATACTTAATTCAACCTCTCAATCTATGTCACTACAATTAATTACAAAAGTTGTTGGCCAAATAAAACATGTTGTTGTACCTTTAGGACCTTGTCATAAAATTGGTTTATCCAAATGATTTTAGAAACCAAGACATGCAAACTTCCCTTGTGTTGACAGTTTTGTTTCTAGTTTAAATGGACCATTTTAGTTTTAAATTGCCATGATTAGACAATAGGTTTTCATTTAAACTATATTAATACTTTATAAATGTTGTCAAAGAAATGGATTGTTTTTGTTCACAAGGACAACCCTGCTTAGTTCATGACCCTCCTTTGCGTCTTGAACAAGTTGAAAAGTGAGTTTTGTTCATTGAAGGTTTTATTTATATAGTTTTTCTTCCCTCAATTACCACATATAGGGTATTCAAAAGTAGAGGAAACTGGAAAGTACATTGGTCGGATTATCCTCTTTCCAACATTATCTGCAGTTTTCTTGTTAAGTGTTTTCATGAAAATAATGTTCATATACTGATGCCCTAATCATCTGAGAATTCTGAGAGCTTGTTAGATTGTTTGTTCTAGGTTATGTGTTTTTTTTTACTGGTTTTGACATGAATTAGAAGAATTGCTGTTTGACTGAACTAAAATAGACAAAGGAGTTATTTTTGCTGTGCAATATAGAACCTAAGCATTGAGGCATTGTTATAAAACACTAATGTCCCTGCTGAAACACAAATAGTCTAATGGTTGTTCATTTATTGGAGGCTATTTGTAGAAGATGAATTAGGTTATGTTAAATATATCTCATAAACATGAGGCTTGCAAGGCTTTATAAATGAGGAGTCTTTTGTGAAGTTTGTTACTGTCGCTAAAACAAAATGGAAACAAGCTTCCCATATGAAAGCACTGACCCATGTACAATTTCAGGTAGTATTGTAGCAGATGAAGGAAGAGCAAAGCTTTGACTTGCTGAGCATTTGTCGCTGAACAGTACATCTGAAAAGGCACTAGCTTCAAATCTGATGCTCAAGCAAATTGGAAGTAGTGAGAAACATAAAGAAATCGTCAACTCTAGTAGAGCACATGCAATGGTGTAAGCTATGGGTGATGGAAAATATGCAGTGAGGATTGACACCGGCTATCCATTACGTCGCCAGGCCATCAGGGTGAGTTTTGCTTATGTTGGAAGAATGGTTTTGTAATATTTTGAGTCAAAAGTTAAGTGGGACCCACAGAACTTTTAACGTGGGTATAAGTGGTGATGTATTTGTCTCCATATGTAGATTCACATGTATTTCCTTAATCAAAATCATTGATGGCTAAATAAGAAATCGACTCTAAAGTGCACCATTTGAGAATAGTAGAAATATGGTAACAAAGCGTAGTTTCATGTTGGTTGGAGAAGTCACCTTTGTGTGGTATATATACTCTAGCCTAAGATTTGGGTTTAGGCATTGAGGAACATCCAAGTTTTGTGATGGGGGAGGACCTAGCCAAATATGGCTTCACCACACGTTTATTGCTGCCACACTTGGCACGTAGCACCTCTTTCCATGGAATGATGCATTCATTCACGGTTAAGCGGTTCTTAATCTGTCCAACTAGTCACCTGTAGGCCTATATAAATAGTTCCTTGCTACATCCAGTCATCATCGATGTGAAATATAGTAACTATATATTTTGTCTATCATACATACCATATTATATTCATTATCATATTTAGGATTACCATATTTAGATTTCTCTCCTCTTATATAAATGAGTCTTGTATACATTGTTAATACAGATTCAATATAATATTCTCTCTTTCTCTCTCTCTCTTTTACATATTGTGACATGGTATAAGAGTTAGGTTAAGTACTTAGTAATTTCGCTTTACCAGCGGACGGCAGCCCAGCCTTGCTTTGGCCACTTATCGGACCTCAACTCAATCCACTGCCATATTTTCCTTTCAGTATTGTTTCGTAGTGATTTCCTCATTTGTCCGCTGGTTTCTCTATATTCCTCCATCACCAGCCAAAGTTGCACTGCATTTCCCAACTCCGGCCATCGCCAGCATCTCACACTGCTATCCACCAACCCATCGCCATCTCAATATCATACTACATATTTTATTATTTTTTCTTCATTACCTTCAATGGCAAAACCGAAAGAACCACCAATTTTCTATTTTCCTCCTTACTTTATCACATAAGCTTTGTTTTCCACTTTTATCTTTTTACACATTTTTTTAATTTTTTTTATTCCCACCATCACATGGGCTTTCTTACACCAACCCATTTCCTTTCTAGAAAAAATAAAAATAAAAATAATTATTTTTTATATAACATGAAAAAAAATCTATTTTCCTCTTCAATTTGTCTTTTCCTCTGCTTCAACCTCAAATAGGTTTCTATCTTCAAACCAAATTGAGTTTGAGGGAGTATTATACCTATATTATGGTGAGCATGGTAATGCACCATGCAAACCACCCAAGCTACTCCCTCCGCGCATTACCTAAGTCGCCCCCTTGGCGCACTCCCTAAGTTGCCTCATTGTCGCACTAGCCACTGCCTTGGCGCACTCCCTAAAGCCACCCCCTTGGCGCACTCCCTAAACCGCCCCCTTGGCGCATTTTTTGTTCCTTTCCAAGCCATCTCCTGGCGCACATGGTCCCTTCCAAGCTGCCCCCTGGTGCACTTCTTCATTTGTTGCCATCATCATTCAACACTACACCATAAGTTATGTGTGTTAGAATATAATAGAATATTATAAATTTGTGTTTTGTACAAATTAGAGTCCTATTAGAGGCATGATTGTGTTATTGAGTTAGAGTCCTGTTAGAGACATAATTGTATTTGTATTTTCCTTTTTGGTTTAGGATTTAGGGCTATATAATCTACGATCTGATTGTAATCTTTGATACATTGAATTTTGCATATACAGAAAAGTTTTCAGGATTCTTACAATGTGTGTGCCACGTTTGCTGGTTCAACATCCAGTTCTTCTTCAATGGTCCGACATGACCCTAAAAATTGTCATCTGATTGAGATTTCTTTACTCCCGACTTCTTCTATGACGGTCCGACACGACCTCACCAAAAACTATCTCCCGACATTAGCTCTGACCTTTAATCTATCTCAAGCACCCTTGTGTTTCTATCAGGACTTTACAATCTATTTGTCTCGGATCTATCCATATTTTTAATTTTATTTCATGTTTTAATTTCTCTTTGGGTGTTAAATATAGTAACTATATATTCTGTCTATCATACATACCATATTATATTCATTATTATACTTGGGATTACCATATTTAGATTTATCTCCTCCTATGTAAAGGAGTCTTGCATACATAATATTGAATATACACATACTATAATATTCTCTCTCTCTCTCTCTCTCTCTCTCTCTCTTACACATTGTAACAATCAAATTCATCCCATCTTTGCATTTATTTTTTCTGTTCATATAGTGTGAGAGAGTACTAGCACTATGTTGGCTTGCCAGACAGGCTGAATTGCTTCATCTCAGTGGTTCTTGATCATTGTAACTTAGGAGGAAAGCATTTATTCAACTCGTAAGGAAATTGTATTAAGTTCTATATTGGAGTTTTCGGTTTCTGTTTCTGATTTTCATGACATCAGTGGTTTTTAAAGGAGGACTAATATTAACTAGACAACAAAGACAAGTAGAAAGTCTTTTCAGTTCATTTGGCCTTGTTTGATTGTGGTATTTGCAGGAGGGATAAGAAGACAAAAAAAGCATGTAGGTCCATGCTGTCCCTAGTTCTGTCCAGGATAAGCCCTCCAGATTTCTTATCCCCCCATATGGGGACTAAATGGGGCATGGAGTGCATCATTGTGGCGATAGAAGATGTGTTAGCCTCACAACCAAGTTCTCGCATAATAGATTTAGTAGATCCCTCTAGACTCCTCATATGAACGAACAAAAACAGATATGTCTTTCATTAACTGGCCAGCACGGTTTGTGGTAGGCACACTACTAGTCAATCAACTATTTGAATTTAGCAGAAAATTCAAATAACTAGACCCTCTGCATTTCTAGACAGAAAATTGAGAACTGACGAGAGCCACAAAATTTTGGATTGTTGTGGGGCAACATTCCTTGCCCATTCCTCGTTTTTCAGTTCATAATTACCATTATGTGAAATTGTTACTGTTTTATTGAATGCCCCTCATAGGTCCTCCATCAACATAGTTTGTTATCGAAAGAAAACTAGAGAAAGTTGGTGACACTAACTTCCTCAGACAAGGTTTCAGGTTCATGAACGAGGAGAGCGAAGACGATTCATGATTAGGTTAATTAGGAAGGGTTTTTAGTTATTTTGAAGAGTTTTTTGCTCTCTTATCTAAACATTCCTAAGCATATTAACCGAAATAATTATGAGAAAGAATGTATGACTGAGGACAGACAGGTTAATTGCTCAGAGAGGGATTACCAATGTTGCTTTTATGGTTAAAATGAAAAATGCTGGAACGGTGAGTGAAGTCGCCAGCTCCAGTACCCGACTCTTCTTCTTCTTCTTCAATTTTTTGTTTGTTTGTTTGTTTGTTTGTTTGTTTAAATGGAATCAAATATGGACTTTCACATGAAATTGCAAGACCATGTAAAGGCTCTTTGAAAGCATCCATCCCAAGGTGAAAAGAGAGTATTTGAAACCAACAGGTCACTATTTGAAAGCAGATAGTATGTTTACTGAATATTCCTATTATTCTGTAAATTCTAGGAGGCACACAACTAGTTGTATTATTTGCTTTGATTGGATTAGCATCTGTTTCAGAACCAACCTCCTGCTCATTTTGTGAAAACATAGAATAATATCGTAATTGCAGGCATGGGATCTTCTGTAACCCCACACCGTGGTACACTCGTAGCCACATGATTTGATTTTTTGATAAATTTTTAATTTAATGAGAAATCAAATCTTGTAGTCACGAGTGATGAGGGAAGAATGAACACATTTTTTTGGGGGACATACAATCTCTAATTGCATATATCTCATATAATTAAAGAAATTTTGATATAAGTTCTCAGGTTAACAATTAGGAACTTTCAAGTTTAAATCCTTACTTCGCTTGATATGTGAGGTTAAAGGATTGTTACACGTATTTAGTTGGGGTCAAGCGGTTCCTCATTATCAAAAAAAGAAAAAAGAAAAAAAGGAACAATTACAAAAATAAAAAATAAAAATCCTAAGGTTTTAGTGTAGTAAAAAAATAAACTCTGTGCTTTTAATTTTATTAATTTAAACTCTAATTTTTTGATTTATTTTCAATCAAACCGTTTGTCTATTGTCATTAAGTAAAATTGATAAAAAATGAATATTTTAATCATTAAACTTAATATAGATATATATAAAATATTTAAAATATCATTTTTATTGAGTTTTATGACTAAAATATCTTCTTCTTTTTTTCAATTTTAGCTAATGAAAATAGAAAAATAGTTTAGATTGAAAATAAATCAAAAGTTTAGAATTTAAATTGATAAAATTAAAATTTAAGATTTATTTTGTTAAAAATGTAAAACTTTGAGATTTTTATTTATTTATTATTTCTTCAAAATTTATTCAACGACAGGTAACCCAAATTTAATGAAGGTACAAAAGTTTATTCTCCACTTCTAACCCGAGGTTGAACTGATGACAAAGGGTAAAAATATAATTTTGTCAGACAAGCTTGGAAATAAAACTCTTATTGTGATTTAAGAGTAATGTTAGAGGTTTTAAATATTTTATTAAATATCTTATATAGGTGTGAGATCTACACTATATAGGTCTTAAATAGATCTTATACCCATATAAGACATTTGGTAACTAACATTGCTCATGATTTAAACTAGACTTTGGACAAATTGTTGCTCTAAATGCCCATTAGTATTAGTTATTAGTATTAGTTATTAATTAAGTTGGTAAATTTACTACTTCTTCTTCCTCTTCCTTTTTTTTTTTTTTTTTTTTTGTTCATTTATATCTAATGCATATTTTAACATTGTTATTAGTTATGTTAGTAGTTCCCATTGTTGTTAATATTAGTCAAGTTTGGCAATTTTAAAAAAATTAAAAAATTACCTAAAAAGTTAAAAAGTTATTAATATTTATTAAAAAAATAATATATAAATATTAATATAAATCAAAAGTTGGGCCAAATGATAGTGACGTGATGCTGTCAGTCGCTGACAGGGGGAAAAAAAAATTGTAGTAGAATATTAACTAAATTAGATGGTAAAGTTGGATCTGTAGAGGCCTATCACGGGTCCCATTTTGATAATTTGAACCGTTTAATATGTAGAATTCGTCTAGTATAATATGCCTATAAAAAATCACTTCT